TCAAGTCCAAAGAACACATTGCATTGAGTATTGGAAACAGACATGAGAAGAATGAACAACTATTGAATAGAACTAGAAAGTAAGGCCCAGGACAGAGTAGGTTGGAGAATGTTGGTCGGTTGCCTATGCTCCAATGAAGAGTGGTAACAGGAGTAGGTAAGTAAGTAAATAAGTAATATGTTGTGTTCCGTTAACTATTCAAATCACCAAGATATCAATATCGATAGTCTATTGATCATTCACGATCAATACATATGTGCTAACATTTGTCAACGAACAAAAAATTACGCAGCCGGTATCTAACAATGTTAATGTCTAACTTCGATCAATTCACGGTCTTGCGCAACCTCAAAAGCAGTCTTCGGTAGTTACTGTCTACACCTGAACAGGTTGAACTTCACTGGTCATGACTTCCCACTAGAAATCGGAGAAGATTCCTCACGCAGCTAGTAGCTTATGAGCACAGTTAATTGCGTTACGGTGTTGTGAAGATTAGTAAGTTACACATTTTGAAACCATGAATCGATCAATGTTAGACCATCATTAGAAATATGGAAGCACTAGAGAGTTCTTTAAGCTTGTAGAATCACTAAAGCCATCATTTGGATGATACCAGTGATATTAATAACGTTTGTCTATGCAAAATACGTCGGATCAAATGGCCAAACACAATCCGTAACAACCTGATATATGAGAGAACAAACCAGATCCCAGCATACGAAGAAATCAGGAAGGAGCTCTGGAAGTGGATAGGACACACATTGAGGAAATCACTCAACTACGTCACATGACAAGCCCTCACTTGGAATCCTTAAGGTTAAAGGAACAGAGAAAGATCAAAGAACACCAAAACACAATCGTAGACAGACATTAAAAGGATGAACAACATTTAGATGGAACTGGGAAAGTAGACCAAAGGCAGAGTAGGTTGGAGAATGCTAGTCGAGGCGGCCAATACTCCGTTGGGTGGTGAAACGTGTAAGTTATGAAGTCATTTATTCTTTACGTTATTACAAGATATTTTATAAATTGTTCGTTATGTTATAATTCATAATCAAACTTTTTCAACATTTAGGAATATTGTTGTATTCTAATGTAAATTTTCACTTTGATGTAATGTCCCGTTAAAGAAAAAATCATGATTTATCATCTCTACTCTAAATCCACATACTTCTTTCTTGTAAATTATTTTGTTTTCTTATTTTGTTCTTACAATTTTTTCACACAAAAAATACTAGACATTAATTTATCTTAGAACAACACATATAAGCGAACAATATTGTTTTCGATTAGATCGTCATCAGGCTTTACTCTAATATACATGAATATTTATATGAAAATGTTAAACCAATCAAGGCAATTTGAGTGATAATCACAATGAAATGAAAAAGATTACGTAACTACATCTAATAGGCAAAAGTTCAAGTGGATAATAGGAAAACAGGTGTACTGATAGTAGTAAGAAAATTTGTAAAATATGATAACTAAAGCAGGTCAAGGGTGGGTGAATAGAATTCAAATAATCATCAAAAACGTCAAAAACATTACGTAATAAGCAAATGTGTAAAAATAAAATAAAATAATAAATCAAAAATAATAAAAATAAAAATATGTCAATCATTAGTTACGTCATATCCGGCCACGGAAGAGATAGGGGTGTCACGAATTTCGTCGTAACACATAAATTAGGGTTGAATGTACGTATTCCTATGGCTTCTGCAATGTGTAGGAGACGGGATCGAACTCCGTTGGGAAATGATGGAGGTATACGATGTGTTCAGAAGAAATTCGTGACACCCCTATCTCTTCCGTGGCCGGATATGACGTAACTGATGATTGACATATTTTTATTTTTATTATTTTTGATTTATTATTTTATTTTATTTTTACACATTTGCTTATTACGTAATGTTTTTGACGTTTTTGATGATTATTTGAATTCTATTCACCCACCCTTGACCTACTTTAGTTATCATATTTTACAAATTTTCTTACTACTATCAGTACACCTGTTTTCCTATTATCCACTTGAACTTTTGCCTATTAGATGTAGTTACGTAATCTTTTTCATTTCATTGTGATTATCACTCAAATTGCCTTGATTGGTTTAACATTTTCATATAAATATTCATGTATATTAGAGTAAAGCCTGATGACGATCTAATCGAAAACAATATCGTTCGCTTATATGTGTTGTTCTAATTTTCACAATGGGAATCTTTAAAATTATTAATTTATCTTCAAATATATCAATTTTATGATCTAAAACCAATCAGTCCATTTTGTAGAAATTATATATATACATATATATTATGTAATAAATTATCGTCACCAGTATGTTTTTTTCATCTTACAAACTGTTCAATATGTTCAATATACATTAGACACAATTAACTTTTGTTCGTTTGTTTGTCTTTACTACAATAAATGAAGTTTGATTATATGAATAAATTATTTCATACAAACACAATTAAGCACTTCTTAAAAGTAAATATATGTATATACGATTAAAACACTATTAGCAAACAATGAATCATAACTGTTATGGTCAATAATAAGTATCGACTAAAGCAAAAAACAAATTACTACAAGTTATTCAAATGAAATAACATATAGATGAAAAGTATCCTTGTCATTGATTGGTCAATTTAGTTTGTGAATGCATTTAAACAAATTCAATAGACAATTTTAATGTAATTATTATTCCATTGTGAATAAACTTTGATATATATATATATATTTCGATTTTTAGATAATATAATTTATTGTTAACTTGAAATGATGAAAATATGTTGGTAATTCACGTTTATGTTTAGATAAAAAATGAATATATAGTTGTTTCAATGTTCAATGTATCAATGGAATGAGAGATTCGTCCCCCTTACAAAGTAAAAATAAACTATTGTAGATGATTTCTCATTTACCAACCAATACATTGTTATTACAAGATATTTAGTGAAGATTGTTGAAGTTTGTAGTCTTAACTTACTGGTTGACTTAAGTCTAACACAACCCCGGGGATGGATCAAAAAGCTTTGAACAGCTACTGTATGATAGTGTAAGACTCTTCTATAGTGTCCATTCGCGATTCTATCACTGATCAAACTAATGTCAGTCAGTAGTGGTACAATTCACTATATTTTCAATAGGTTTGTAGAGACAATGAAAAAAGCTGATTGCCTGATGTACATTGAGCTAACATATTTCACGAAATTCATCAAAATCTGTAGATAAGATTGTGTTATTTTGATAATGTTTTCAACTAAAGATTCTGAAAACACTTTTACATTCATTCTTATTTGAGATATTGAGAACAGAATTGTAGCTAATTTATTCGTATAAATATTCCTAATTTACACAGTCATTTGTTGCATTGTAAAATCCAATAAAAACTACTCTTTACAAAGTAAAGAAACATGTGTTCATCAATAGCCATGAAACCTAGGATAGTAATAATGGTACTTATCACAAAATTGTATTTGATACCTTGCAAAAAAATTATGTTCACGGTAGGATTAGAACCTGTTACAATAAGGTGCTGGGTAAAGTCAGCTAGTCAGTTACAACGGATAACTTCGTACGTAAGTACATCAGTTCATGATACTATACCTTATTAGCACAGAGACGCAAGTGTCAGTTCGAATCCCATAGTGGCAGAGATAGTAGAAGTATTACTGGTAATGGAGAGGATTAGGCTTCGAAGATATTATTCAAGAAGTATAATTCAGTAAAATAAATTTAAAAAGAAGAAGATAGAGGTGATGAGGCATTCAGAAGATTGAGAATTGAGAGAACACAAAGAATGGATGCATCTGCGCCAGTGCAAACGATTTTGAGCTGGATGATCAAGCTGACCCTGAAAAGTTTTATGAATTTGTTGAAGTTAAAGCATCCGCGTCAAGAAAGGTTTTTGAAAGTTTATCTTGTTAAGTATTTGTCATACATTTTCAGTAGATCTAAAAGTACCTGGAACATAATGCAATTTTATTCTACAGTTTATATCTAATAGAGTTCTGTAAATGAATAGATGGAGTCGTGATAGATTTAACGGTTAATTCTTGACAGTTCTGAAAGTTATTCTAAAGAATAGGTTATACCAATCAATAACTGACAAGCTTCGTTTTTACATCCATCTATTATCTTTAGTAAAGTTAGTATGATCCTTACAAAGGCCTATTAATCAAAAATCAAAATGGAATGCCTATATATGGGTTCTGCTGAGCTGATCAAAAGAAAATATCTTTTACAATCATTGATACACATAAGCCATTCTGCTTAAAGTGAGGATAGTTCAGAATCTTTCACTCTGAGGTAACTTGAGAAATTCAGCCGTCCAACCTTCAAATTCAGTAAGCAAAGAGAGCATTTTCAGCCTCGTATTCTAACAGGGTCCTAAGATTCCATATTTTATTGTGCTTAACCAGATCTCATTATCAAACATATATCATTTAATTCTTCTATACATTCTTCGTACTCATCAAGTGGTCAGTTATCTCTTTTATAACAACTAATTTGTATACGGTTTTCCCCCAAAATATATTTCTTTATCTTATAGATTGTATGTGACCCAATCCTCTCATGATGTCGTTTTATTGAAACAAAACTCTAAAAACGTTGTCTACTATTATTTAAACAACTCAGAAACACAATAGCATATCACTCATTAATGTTTTCTACTTAGATTTTTATCATAAAAACAGGTTTACTACGAAAATCTTTCGTGTTGTCACGCGCAAGCCACCGGTATTGCAAATGCTAAACCACTAACTTCGACATGACGGTAAGATACAACTCATAGGTTTTTATTGAACAGGCCCACAATTGAATCTTGATTATTTCATCCCAACCAATCGATAAGTGAATGAGACATGCCACACCCACGACATTGTAACATTGAAAAAAAAACCATTAACTTAAATCAACCAATAGAAAATGCCCGACAAGGTCATTTGACTAAATTTTGAAAAAGTTATTCATTATTATTACAATATGGATATATTTTTTTTTTCTAATGACAACATTAACATTAATCTAATTTGTATTTGTCATCACCTAATGGTTAACAAAAAGCGGAAAAGTGAAAAAATTAAATCATCCGAACCTGATATTCAAATTGTTGAAGCAAGAAAACCAACAACTCAACAAACTCTTATTGCAACAATTATACTATGCAGTTTAACAGTTATATTAATTATTGTTGGAATGAGTTTGAAGTTGGCTTATGGTCCATCATTATACTATACTGATGAAAATTAGTAAGTTGAATTGATCTGTGAATTTGTATTATATTTCTTGTTTTGAATCGTTTATTACACAGAGAGTGATTGTTGTAAATGAAATATTATAAAGCTAATTGAAATGCGCTTACATAATATGCATATTTTAAAAGTTCATTGTATCCTTTCTTCATTGTTTACTTTGTTTAAACATGAAAATAATTTAATTACAATTAAAACAAGGGCGACATAAACTATAACTGAATTTTAAATGTAGTTTATGGTAGTTGACAGAGAAACGAACAAACTGTAGTTGCGGCAAAATCTTCCTTTTAATTACTAACACTAATCTGTGTACATTCTATGGTTTAGTTTATGGGTAGATGAGTTGACTAATAATATCTATTTCTTTCGGCTTAGTGAATTTAATATATGAAAAAGAAGTCGTATAGAATGAGATTTCCTCATTAAGACCAGTAAGAACTAGTAATGTTTGGAGGTAATTTTGAAATCTCACTTTGAATGACTCCACTTTGATCATTTCATTATATAACTTAAATCGTACAAACTTGTTATTGATGAACATCATTTAAAGAGCATTGAATAACTGTCTTATTCGATATTATAAACCTTCGATTATTTCAAAGATCATTACAATCAACCTTTGCACCAATTGGTTTGAAGCTGTTTTATGATTACTGTTTGTCCCTAGCTCGTGGAAAAAAGTAAAGTTAGGTATCGTGTTAACAACCCTATTATTATTACTGCTTACTGATGAACAAAATATTCTATTCATCATAGTTTTCATGAATGACGGCAGCGATCAAAACAACTCAATCTTCTACTTTAGGTAAAAACTTTCAAGGTTAAAGTTCAATCGCCTTCATTGTACACACAGTAAAATAATTTAGTGGAAATATGATGAATTCATCAATAAACCGGTCACAATAACTAGTGAATACTCTTCTCTGTTCTAATTCTAACCATTTGATAGTTATGCTGGTACGGTATAGTTGTATTACAGTTTTATATTTTTGAGAAATAGATGTCATAGTTTTGTTACTGATTAGGTGGATTTAAAAAATTATTGTCTTGGATATGTTGAAAACCTTTACTTATATCCTACGTAGAGTATTATTGTATAGTTAGATCAATGATTTCGTGTGTTCAAACATAGTTAGCTTAGAATTTGATGTAATCCTCGACTAATATCTAAAATAGTACTAACGTTTGTACAATTTTCAATTAGATGAACTGATGCAATAAAAAAAAATTCAAAGCTCTTCAAATAAATTAATCAGATTATGTCTAGTCCATTGGATATTAATCTGTAATATAAAGCAAATTTGATATTAATTTTTTTTGGCAAAAAAATGTACTCATTTATCAGGAAGGTTGAATTCATTGGTAATTAGATATGATGATATGATTTGAACGGAATCTTCATCACTGATTAATAGTGGTTGAAAAATTGTACGAAACCAAGCTATAAGACAGATTTTTCATGGAAGTAGAGTTTGGCGCCTAAATTAAAATATTTGAGTATAGTGTGTAATTGGATATCATTCAAAAAATAAAATCTTAATCCAGTTGGTGCCTTAGTTTGTTATTTTTTAATTAGTAAATGTAACTGACCATTTACAATATCGGCTATTTATTTGAATACATGTACGTTCGTTACTTACTCCTGGTGTGGTGCGCGCTTCTTATCAGTAGTATATGACGCGAGTGAAAACGTAATGTCTGGCAGCAGAAGATGGGGGAATATCAAGAAAGGAAGAGTGGGAACATAATGGAATTTGTATGAAACGCATGAATCGTGAAATGTCAGACAATGGGTTGATGATGGATTGAAGATTTGCAAATTAACCGTTTGCGATATGATTTTCCTATTTTTCTGAGTAACTCTGTAATTTGCGATAAATACAATTCGGTTGCCCTCATTTGTGTTCTCCTTCACTACACTGTTACCCACAACGGAGCATAGGCCGCCAACCAACATTTTACAGCCTACTGTGTCCTGGACCTTCTTTTCTAGTTCTATACAGCTGTTGTTCATTCATTTCATTTCTGTTTCCAAATCTCGGCGTAACGTGTTCTTTGGTCTTTCGTTTTTCCTTTGACCTTCAGGATTTCAAGTGAGGACTTGACTTGTGACGCAGTTGGGTGATTACCTTAATGTGTTCCCTATCCACTCCCAATGCTTCTCTTTTACTTAAACATGGTTTATCCTATCCTACAATAGGCTGTTGCTGATAGTATCTGACCAACGGATCCCCAGTATCTTGCATAGACAATTATTAATAATCACCTGTATCTTGTAGATGATGGGTTTCGTGGTTCTGCAAGTTTCTGTTTTATACAAAAGAACTGTGTTGACGTTTGTATTGAGAATTGTGACTATGGTGTTGTTTTTGAGTTGTTTTGAATTCTAGATGTACTTCGATCGTAGAAATGTTGCCCTTGCTTTGCTGATTCAAGCCTTCATATCTGCATCAGATCCACCTAGTTCATTAATGATGGTTCTTAGATACGTAAAGTTCTTTACGTACTCCACCAAGTTTGAATTATTTTTTCTGATTTGCGATTTTTTTTAGTCAGCTTTCTACGATATAAGATAGCGAACCTGTTGGAGATGTTAGACCCCTAGAACTCGCTTGATAAATATCTTTATTTTGGATTTATTTCATGGACCAACAAGTTGACCTTGAGATCAGATTTCCCACCAGGAAAATACTTGGCTGTAATTGGTTACTGTATCATTTTAGTGTGCTACTTTTGTGACTGTCCCAAGGACGTCTCTACGGAGTATAAATAAACGCGATTTGAGTGCTTGGATTCATTGCGTGCTGGCTGGGTGTTTGCAGAATACAATTTCTACACTATATCAAGACTTCTCGCTGATACCTTTTGGTCAAGGGATCACAGTAGCCTACCTGGACGCTGGTTCATTGTTTTGTTCTCTTTATTCGACTAAGGTGACCCGTAATAGTTTCAGCATACCTAGAGACGAGCGTAACGGAACCCCTTACCCGACCCTCCTTTATTCGGACTTGGGACCAACAATAATGCCAAAAGGGCTCCAGGTGGAGTTATGTATGATTTTCCTAAAACAATATTCACTTATTCTTATTTCACTGAAATGTTTTATTAAGTAGACAAGTTTATAATAATATGTAATACATATAAGTAGACAATTACCTTGAAATGTTAATGTCTGATACATAAACTAAAACTTTTCGATCGATAAAATCAGTTGTTGTTTTGGTATTGCTTACTTTGACTAACAATACCATGAATTTGCAGTTTAGTGCAATTGAGTGATATGCATGTGTGAACATGTCTAATGAAATGTAGAAACAATAGTGTTTTTTTTTATTTTAAAAAAAGTAAATAAATATTGGTTATTGGTTAGATTGAAATTATAACTGTAAATGTTCAAGTGCCAATAATAGTGTTTCATTTTCATTGGTATAGTACTATGCAATCATAGTCGTCTTATTGATTGAAATGAGAATAATGGTCTTATTTTTTTTACTGAAATTCAATCAGTTAGCTACAACGTAGAACTTTGTACATACATCAGTTCAAGTTGACATACTACGCTACCACACAGAGATTCAATTGTCAATTCTAAACTCATAGTAGTGAACGTAGTACAAGTATTAACGGTAATCAAAAACATTAGGAATTGTGAAGATATTATTCAGGGAGTATAATTTAGTGGGATAAATTTAAAAAGAGAAAGATAAAGTTGATAAGGAATCCAGAAGATTAGAATTTCAGAGAACACAAAGAATGAATGCATCTACGCGATTGCAAACGATTTTGAGCCATGTCGTTCAAGATCTCTAACCAAGTAGCCTACACTTACCAGCGTGGCTTAGTTCAGTTTTCAGTGACTTCATGGATTTGTGCCATGTTTTGGTTTGGCCGCCTCTAGCTTCCTTCAAGCCTCTACTCCTACATCAGTCATCACCGCTCGTCCGTTGGCGGTTGAGCATTCGTAAGGCAGCAAGTAAGTTTATTTTTTCATTCATTGTTCATTTCAAACTTACAACAGTTCCAACTTTACTTATCTCTCTCTCTTTCTATGTGTGAATGTCTAAATCATTTAAATTTCATTTTTCTTTAATTAGTTGGCTTGCAGCACTTGGACTAAGTCTGGTGATAATCTCTTTTCCAATTGGAATCACAGCAACTTGTCTATTGAATGCATTATTTCGTATTAAACGTTATGTTCAATACACTGAAGCACGTAAACGATTGTTAGAAAGTCAAGTATGTTTTCATTTAAAAATTGTTTGTTTATCTATTATCATGTAACGTTTAAAATTATTCACTGTGTATGAATAAGTGTATACGTAGAATTTTTTTCGAGAAAAATACAGTCAGCAGGTATGATTGTTTAACTAAACGCAAAAAATCTAATCTATTTCATTGTAATTTTTTTGTTAAGACGCATTATTGATTTATTGAACGTTTTATTGTTCAAATCAAGCAAAAGACAATAAGGTAACATTCAATTGACTTACTCACAGTTAGAAGAAAAATACTAAATTGGAGCCGATCGATAAGTCATATCTCTTAGTCTAAAAGAAATGACTCAGTCTATGTATGTATGTATGTATCCATATTGATTAGTTCATGATTTCAATGAAACTAATTAATCAACCTCCACAATCCCATATTAATAAATGAAATTAGTGAATTGTTTAACATGCAAACAGATGAAAATTATGTGGCAAGAAAAGTTATTATTCTTACTTGTGGAAACTTTTTTTTTTCATAAAAAAATTTACAGTTTTAATTTTTGAAATAAGCATAACACAAAATATTTTATTGTTTAAAATGGAAGTTTACGTAGTTGTTTGATAAAATGAAGGAATTCTTTTTAGAAAAAAACGGGAATCGATCGCATGCTGTTAGCATGAAAATCTAATATGGTGTATGGTACTCACAAAATGGTTTATGAGTAGAGTGCAGCGAAGTACCGGCTGAAAGTTTTTACTACATAGAGCAGTTTTAGACTGTTGAATCACCTGGCTAGATTAGATATTCGGAGAGCAGAAGAAGAGCAAAAGAAGACAGACTATAACCAACTTGGGTTGTAGAACACACAACAGATGCAAAAGGATGACTATAGACTTGATTTACACTTTTCATCAACAATATATATTCCTTTCTGCACCTGGACGTATGTCACTTTGTTCGATTTAGGACTCATTAGTTTGGTATACCTGCATCCCAGAGTTGATGTTTACTCAAATATTCTAACACATTAGATTGGACATTGAACACCGAATTTGCTTTCTATTTCATTACTAACTTCAAAAGCTAAAATAAGCCGGATATAACCAAGTTTAAAGTGAAATATTATTTCATTATTTTCAAATCTAAATAACAATAAAATCAATAGATTATATTGATTATTAGCTAGTAGTCTAAATCAGAGTTTAAATTATTCCTTTTGGTTGGCACACTTTTTTTTATCAAGTTTGTGTTCTACGGGATAGAGGTGCTAACCCCAGCCCCAACTTTCTTCAATAATCTAAACTCAGGACTGGCAGTCAGTCAGTCACTAAGTTACAACGTAGAACTTTGTACGCACATACATCAGTTCAAGTTGCCATATCACACTAGCACAAACATACAATTGTCAATTCAGATCCCATATTAGTAGAGGTAGTAAAGGTATTACCGGTAATGGAGAAGATAAGGTTTTCATGAAATTATTCAAGAAGTAGAATCGAGTGAAATAAATTTAGAAGGAAGAAGATAGAGGTGATGAGAAATTCAGAAGATTAGAATTTGAGAGAACACAAAGAGTAGATGTATCTGCGCCATCACAAATGATTTTGAGCCATGTCGTCCAAGGTCTCTAGCCGTCTGCTACTATTAACTCGCGGACACTAACCAGGTTGTCTACACTTACCAACATGATTCACTCCACTTGTCAGTGACTTAACAGGACTGGTAGTTGCAGGAGGAATTCTGACGACAGAATAAATCGTAAAACCATGCATAGACAACAGCTCACAGACTCGTCCTAAGTGAAGACTCATGTCAGACAAGGTTGCTTACTCTTTTTTCTTGTGGTTGAATGAATCAAGAAAGCCTCAACATCTCAAAGAAAGCAAGGGATACAGTGGGCAGATCGGATACAGATGGATTATCTGGACTTCGGAGATGATTTAGCCATTCTATCCCACACATGACAACAAATGCAGAAGAAGACGGCCAATGTAGCAGTAGCATCTGTACCAGTAGGTCTCAACATTCACAAACCAAACAGCAAGATCTTCAAATACAACACAAAATGCACCAACCAAATTGCACTTGACGATAAACTATGGAATATGTGGAAACTCTTACGTAGCTGAGTACCATCATAGAATGTAATTCAAATATGACGATACGGAATGACAAAGTGAGGACAGCTGGACGATCTGGACTTCGCAGATGACCTGGCTCTTCTATCGCACACGCAACAACAAATGCAAGAGAAGACGACCAGTGTAGCAGCAGCCTCTGCAGCAGTAGGTCTCAACATACATAAATGAAAAAGTAAAATTCTCCGATGCAACACAACATGCGCGAACCAAATCACTCTTGATGGAAATGCCTTGGAGGACGTTAACACCTTTACATATCTGGGCAGCATCATCGACAATCAAGGTGTATCCGATGCAGATGTGAGGGCGCGGATTGGCAAAACAAGGGCTGCATTTCTACAGTTGAAAAATATCTGGAACTCCAAACAACTTTCAACCAAAACCAAAATCCCAGTTTTCTATACAAAAGTCAACACAGTTCTACTGTATGGAGCGGAAACTTGAAGAACTACGAAAGCCATCATTCAGAAGATACAAGTGTTTATTAACAGTTGTCTTTGCATGATACTTCGGATTCGTTGGCCAGACACCATTAGCAACAACCTACTGTGGGAGAAAACAGACTAGATTCCAGTGGAGTAGGAAATCAGGAAGAAGCGGTGGAAGTGGACAGGACACACACTACGAAAAGTACCCAACTGCGCCACGAGACAAGCCCTCACATGGAATCCTCAAGGCCGGAGGAAAAGAGGAAGGCCAATGAATACATTACGCAGAGAAATAGAGAAAGATATGAGAGTAATGAACAAACATTAGAGAGAACTGGAGAGGGAAGCCCAGGAAAGAGTTGGTTGGAGAAAACTGGTGAGCGACCTATGCTCCATTCGGGGTAACAGGCGTAAGTAAGTAAGTAAGCAAGATACTCCACATCCATTGGCCAGATACCATCAGCAACAACCTAGTGTGAAAGAGGACAAACAAAACTTCAGAAGACGAAGAAATCAGGAGGAAGCGTTGAGGGCGGCATATGACACACATCGAAGAAATTACCTAGGATCAATACACGCAAACACCAAGGTTGAAGTCCTCAAGGCGAAAGGAAAACGTGTAGACCAAAGAACAGATTACCATGAAAATCTGAAGCAGAGAATGTTTCTATATGGTCTTTGGTTGACATGAAATTCTACAACTGATATAAACAACTGTCAATAAATACAGAGGATAATCATATCACATTACATTAAATTGACAAATGTATATAATAATTTATAGTGTGAAATGAATTTTTTTTAAAAACTACATGAAATTTTCGGTAACTAGTTCAACTACTGTTTTCTGTACATTCATATCTGAAAGAAACTATGAAACGGTTAATGTGAGACTGTGAATACAAGTGTTAGTTAGCTTTTCTTTGAAAAACTAACAATATGAATTAAAATCACATAGAAAATTAGTATTTTTTTCAACAAAAAATACCATGAGAAATTGGATATACTAGTTTGTTTTTTCCTCTGTTAATATGAACTTTTAATCTATGCTTATTCACAAGATCTTCATATGAAAAGCTCAATTTATCAAATCAAAATCAAGCTGTAAATATTAATAAATGAAATATTATTTATTTGAAGAATAATTTATTAGGGACCAATAATAAAGACCATCTTACCATGTAGAAAAAAGACATATCGGAGCATACTGTACGACTACTGAAACCATTCGGAATAGGTATGGTACACAAACCAACAGAATCACTTCAATCAATCCTCTATGTAAACCATAGGACAAAACGACAAAGGAAGAAGAACCATTCATCATCTACTCAGACTGTGAAAAAAAAACAATATGTAGGACACAGTGGACATCCGCTTCAGCTTCGTTTACGTGAACAACAATTATCAGTCAAACGTCACGACAATTCTTCGCTTATATCAATACACGCGGTCAACTATGGACCTACATTCGATTGGAAAAATGTTGAAATACTGGATTGAAGGTGTACAAAGAACACTAGAGAATTTTTAGAAGCTTCCCACCCAAGTCAATCGACAAAATCATCGACATTGAGTCAGTTTATTAACCAATCAGAAAAACCATAAACAAACATAGGATCAAGAAACAAATCAAAGGGAGATGCAGACAACAGCAGGTTTAGGGTCAATAACAACCAATCAAGATTCAGTTTAACAGGACAAGCTACAATGGAAACTCGAAGTTTGTGCTAATAATATTGTTCAGATGAACAATGAAAACTTTACAATTAAAGCATCCAACTCAGAGAACGAAACTCCACCAGACTAATTCTTAGTGATGGTCTAGTTTGGCTGGAGAACATTTCATCTAAATAATATCACCTTCTTGTATTCACTTATTACCCCAAAGTGGATTGATATATATATGTAACATTTTAAAACTAGACATCCTATTGATGGATGTTGATGATAAATCTATTAAAAATTTCCCCTCAGGTTAGGAGGACAAGAAGCATATGGTTTGTTGATTCCTACAGAATATTTGATAAGTTGATTAAAGATTCCTCGCAGATTGTTCAGTAATTTCTCTGGATTTTTAGGTTAGGAAAACGTACAAAGAGTATAAGTTATGGATTTGTAAGATTATCAAAAATACCTAATTACTTTCAATTCTCGATTATACTGACTCGCTTACTTACACTTATTACCCTCAGTGCAGCCTGAGCCGCCGACCAATATTATCCAACCTACTAAGTCTTGGGAGTTCCTTTCTAGTTTTATCCAACTGCTATTCATTCTTTTTGTGTCTGCTTCCAATATTCGTCGTATTGTGTTCTTTGGTATTCCGTTTTTCCTCTGATCTTGAGGATTATAAGTGAGGCTTTGTCTTGTAACGCATTTGGGGGATTTCCTCGATGTCTGTCCTATCCACCTCCAGTGCTTCTTCCTGTTTTCTTCTTCTGCTGGAATATGGTTTGTTTTGTCCCACAGCAGGTTGTGGTTGGTGATGTCTGGCCAGCAGATCCGAAGTATCTTGCTGAGACAACTGTTAATAAACACCTAAATGATGATGGCTTTCATGGTTTACCAAGTTTCCGTCCTATACAGTAGAAATGTCTGTATATTTGTACTAAAAATTCTGACTTTGGTATTTGTTGATAGTTGTTTCGAATTCCAAACGTTCTTCAGTTGAAGAAATGCTGCTTCAGAACAACTTCATCTTAACAGTTTTGAGTTTTTACTTCACCGCTTTAAAGTGAACATTGAACATATTTTTTTTATTTTTCTTATTCCGTTTCAGGTTACTGAAACCAATCCGGATAAAGTTGTTTACTCGTGAAAAAAATATTGATCTTCGAAATAATTATTCAAAAAGGAAGAGATGTACAGCAAGTCAAAAAGCATGATTATGTATGTAGATCGAAATTTAAAACAGATATACTTGTATAGTTAGAGACTAAGAATCCTGTTGAATATTCTGCGCAACATATCAAACATTACATTATATTTCCTTTTAGTAGAAATAATGTTCAATCTTTGTGAGTGTTAAGCATAAAACACATTTGTACAATAACAATATAACAACTTTACAACACATTTCTCTTCTCAATATCTTTTCGGTAGAGTTATCTGTTCTTTAAGCTGGTTAGTTTATTCGTAAAACTCTTACTAGTCTTTTAGACAACATCATCAAGGCAAACTTTAGAAAGAATCGGTCTCTGGCACCACATACAACCGACAAACATCGATTGATTCTGGTTAGTTGCTGACAGCTCTTGTTTTATCCTTGTCTGCATATTTCAATTTTCAATCTTATTACTGCCCAATAGATTGACTGATAAACTGTGATAATTGAATGAAAATTTCTCACAGTTATTTGACTTGATGAATTTAAACAAAGTCAAGACATTAATTAGGAATATTTTGATACTCACTACACAGAGACTAGATCAGATACAGGATATCACGTCCAAAATAAGGAACCAAAGTAAGCTGTAGATATTACTTCACTCCATACAATTGCGAGCCGTCACACTCAGTGAGTCCGAAGTGCAAATAGGAAAGGAGCTCACAAATTTAATAGCTAGTAGGCTGTGACTGTTTGTCCACGCTCAACGACTAATCAGTCACATTTTACTTTTACTATTATCAAAACAAAGGTTATGTCAGTCGTACTATATTTGGTCTACATTGTATTATATGTTCATCCGGTACCGAATAAACCATCCTGGAACTAACCAGCAATTGGAAAAACATCTTTGAATTAAGAGAAAATTATGTTGGTTAAATGTCGTGACCCAGATTTTAGAATAAGTGGTTGACATAGCATGTTTATGAAAAGAGTAACGTATTCTAAACTGTTAGTGGGATATAGATGGAATTAAAGCATGACTACGTTGCTGTGCGCTGATTGGCTAATTTCCTATCCAATCAGCGCCTGATCGATTCTTGGAGAACAGGGTAGAAGATTCTCCTGTTGTTAGCTGCATGCTGATTGGCTAAATCTAATCCAGTCGATCACGTGAATTACTATCCAGAAGCTTCTCATGTAAATGCTATAAAGAAACTAACGTTGTATCTATTTTTGCCTTCGGCTTCTTATTTCCATTTAACCTTGCTATTCGGAATATAATCTTTTCCTGTTCCACCGTGTTTTTGATTCTTTGGAACTTGTCCAGTGTATTGTGGTCAGAGAATACTAAGCAATAGGAATTAGCTGGGAATTATCTAAGCAAGCGTTACAACATAAACATTAAACTATTTTTAAGTAATTTAATTAATAAAATGTCAGTGAATTTGTATGGGTTGTGAGTTTAGTTGTTCGCGACATTGTTAACTTAATATTTTATTCAGTAGATTAGTTTAACTCGACTAGATCATAATCGTACATAGTTTAGAAAATTAATTTATTAATGATAGTCTAGTAATTAAAATATCATTTCGGTGATTATGGATTTCAGAAATCATTCACTACACTGCACAACATATAAACTGATCAATGATATTTTACCATACACAGTCATCACTGCTTATCATAACTATTCATAACTATGCTTGTTGATATGGTTAGTCAATTCGTGTATTCAGCTTGCATGTTTTTGTACTAATGATGACAGTATTGTGATTCTGAAATTAAGTTGTGGTGACTGGTATCTCACTAGTTTCGTGGCGGTCGGTATTCAATGAGTTCTCAGACTTCGTATGCTGCTTGTCTAAACAACTGTGACTAAATAATTCCTCATGGTTTATAAATCAAAAGACGAATACGAAGTGTTGAATACGTCTATATGACACACCATAAATGGACCACCAAACCACAGGCACATGGAGCAAAAATCAATAAGCGAGTGCAGAATGGCAAACAAGCGAAAGAGTGAGTTAGAGAATTAGTGAATTACTTTAAAATGTACATGTAATATACATAGGAAATTGTCTGAGTCATTGAACTATTTAAGAGGTTAATATTAAAGAGAGTAGGATGAATAAGCACGTAGCCGGTAAGCAATATTCCGTCGTATCAGCTCATACCAACCAGACAATAATGATCAAAGCCAATGGTACATATAAGTTGTAGCTATACATATGACATAGTTAAATAAGTTAACTAAAATGCTTAACTAAAGTAAGTATGAACAAACTCAAATATATGTAGAGGTACTACAAACTAATCAAGATTGAGGTAGCAAGCTTTAGATTTCTGTACGAGATGCAGTTTTAAAATTATTCTTCATATCAGTTGGTGATGAAGACGTTAACTGTAATTCCAAACCGTAATTTATTATCTTAGTTCTTCATTCTATTTGACTTTAGTAGGTAGCTAAGATTTCTAAACGCCATTTTGTGTCGCATTTAGATGTCGAACGCAAATTGTTTTATTGCATTAGTTGTTGTAATTTATAGTTTAGAAATTCATATAACGTTAACGGTCATGTTTCACGAATTTTTTTCTATGATAGTTTTTATTAACCGACCTAGGTGTTTAACAGTGTCACATAGTATAGTTATTGATAAGTTAGGTTCTTTAATAATTGAAATCATGAACTGACGCGGGACAAACCAACATAAGAAACCTGAAATCACTGGACAGCCGTTTCATCCTACTATGGAACTTCTCAGCAATGACAAACTACGACCTCTGCGTGCGTGAATCGAACCCAAGACATTCGCCCCTACGGGTTACCACTGAGCAACGTCCAATAGTGCTCAATCCATGACCTTATTCAAACCTTATTCACCGTCTGCGGAGGATAACTATCTACTACCCAACACGGATTCCTAGAACTGTAGGCATTCATCTTGAAGTTAATCACTTGAGAGCACACTATTGGTATTATTAATGAAGGCAATCTACGGAGACTTTGTTATTTTCATAGTTTAAGTTAGACATTCGCATCATCGGTTGTCAACTCAGTAATCTGAATGTTACTTGAGACAAAGTATTTCGGGTTCGATTCCGGCATGGGGGTCATGGATTTGTACTCGAATGAAAAGGCTATCCAATGCTCCCACCTTTCTGAAAACGGTTTAGCTTAGATCAGCTCACGATTTCAACAATACAAATAATACAGTCTCCATAAATCTCCTTCAATTATAAATAAGTTTTATAGTACTTTCTTTATAATATAATAATATCAATCAGAAACAAGACATACATGAAATAACTGTTCAATAATAAACATCATTAATTCATTGGAACTTTTTCGTATCCCTAAACTACTTAGCATTTTAAATGTTTCAGTTAATGCGAATTTATTTTCAATTTTCAAATACAGTCAATTTAAACATGTTCGTCTTCTTTAAATAAATCAAAAAAAAGAAAAATTGTACATTGAAAAAAAACCATTCATTCATATATTTCTTAACATTTATTTGAATATAATAAACAGAGTCATTTTATTTAATAGAGATACAAAATGATTGTGTGGTCGTTTCACGACAATTAGAATCAATGAGCATGGATGTGACACTAACAGAATATCAATCTAGTTAGTAGCATTTTGAGTAACGCTTATACATATACTTTGACATTGTGTAATTGTGTAGATTGTTGTTAGTCAGTCAGCTATAACATAGAACTTCGTACGTATGTACAGAGATTTAAGTTGCTGTACTTTATTAGCACAGAGAGATCGAATTTTCAATTCCAATCTTATAGAAGTAGACGCAGTAGAAGTATTAATGGTAAGGAACAAGATTAGTAATCGAAGATATCATTAGAGAAGTATATCCCAAGAGAATCGCTTTTAAAGAAATAGAGCGAGAAAAAACGGTCATGAGGTATTTGGAATACCAGAATTTGCGAGAAGACAAACAATGGATGCATCTGCTCCATTGCAAACGATCTTGGGCCATGTCATTCAGTGTCTCTAACAATCGGTTAATAATGTCTGGTAGACCCCAACCTGATAGTATACACCGACTGACATGGCCTAGTTCTTTTGTCAGTGACTTCGGGGATTGGTGCCATGTTTTAGTCTAGCCGCCCCTAGCTTATTTCCAGCCTACCACTGTATCAGACAACAAAACTCGTCGAGACAGTCAGTGATCAGGCATAGATAACACATTTCCCAACCACCTCACTGATGAATTTTCAATACTTCATCTATCGATCTTCCAACCTTACACATTACCAGTTTCCTAACTTACTCGATTGTCTCAGGATACATGAGCAATTCTTCGGAAACACCTATGATCGAAAACCAGTAACATACGAATATCTTCTACTCTTAACGGCCATGTTTCGCACACATATAGTAGGACGGAGCGAACTGCTGCGCAGTACACTCGTCCTTTAATCGGAAAACAGATATCTCGTCTACGCCATAAGTGACTCGAGTTGGCAAAAGCCAATCGAGCTTTTTGTATCCGTACTGAGATTTCGTCAGTCACCAGGCCAGATGAGACTCCTGAGATAAGTGAAGCGGTCGACATGCTCAACTACTTCACTCCCTTTCATTAGTCCCGGTGCCAGCCCAAGACAATCCTGAAGCAACATGTTGCATTCCGCGTGGGAGAATCACATCTCGAACTAGCTAGCATTGTTGCTTAAGGTAGTCATCGTCTTCATCGAGTAGAACTATGTTATCAGCATATTGTAATTTAACAAGACAGCCTCCTGGTAGGAAGTAAATCTGTGTAGATTCAGACAAAAATAATTTCATCTTTAAAACCATGTCAATAATGAAATTGAGTAATAATGAAGAACGTAGACGTCGGATATTTTGAGTTTCACTCCAATAATGAATGGATGGATACACAACCCTATTAAGACATTCATATGCTCAATAATGACCAGCTTCGCGAGAAAATTCTCACATAATTAAGGAGAATCTGTGACCACTGGAGTTCAACTGTTTTAAATGTGAAGCAGTTACCTACTGAAGAAAATGAATGATATCGCACAATCATTTAGATTGTTCAAAGTTAGACAGTGTTACCACTGAATGCCTGCTCAGTGATCAAGAGGAGGTCAGGCGTTTTCGCGCAAAACCGAAAGTCTTTAGTTCGACTGCCGCTTGCATGGTCATGAGTGTATACTGTTGATTAATCCCATACTAGGGTGAATTGGCCGTTCAGTGCTTACACGTTTGCAAT